TTTCCAAATTTAAGAATGCTCATGAATATTCAGCAATTGAAAAGATTTAAGTGTTAGAGCCTAGATTATGTCATATAGCATCTTTGAAAGGAAATTTTTAAATTTAAAGACTGAAATGTCCAGGCATTTAGACTTTAGAATACATCATTTAGTATACTTGAAAAAGAAAGAAAATAAAAATAAAAAAGAAGAAAAAGTTTCTTGGATTGAAATATAAGATGGACTTTCCAAACATTGAGTTGATGGATTCAGCTGTTTTCCTTTCATTTTTCAATACATTTGTTGTGTATGTTGGCTTGGGAAAGTAGTAGTTCCTTCAGTAAAGGTGAGATTCGGAAAAAAAAATGAGGCATAGATTGATATTTTGATAATATTCAATGGTGACACTCTTGAGTATTTTCCTTCTGATTAAATTACTTTCTCTTTTGATGAGTGTGGCATGTTTTGTATCAAAATTGTGGTCAAATTTATTTCTGTGTATGACTAGTGTATTTGTTAAATTATTATTGATAAAGGTCTCTTTTGTGTTCATAGACACTTTTTTAACTTCTGCTTGTTTCCCCAATGTATTGTGAAGAACAGTTTAGGCAATTTATTTTATATATGCCTTCCCCTGAACTATTACTAGGGATGTTAGTGTATAGAGATTTTATGACTAAACTGGTCATATATTTGTTTTTGATGTCTACATTTTTTAATTTGTTTAAGAGGTCACCTGAGTTTTTTTATGCGTGAGTGAAGACTGTGCCGAGTAGTAGGGTTAGGATTTTGCTTAGTGTGCCAGCTAGTCTATGTGGGGTGCTGCCTATCCCTGATATGATAGGTCTCATTAGTATGTCTAGTTTATGTGTTTTTGGTAGTCCATATAGTGTGAGTGTTTTTGGGTGGTGTTCAATGAGTTTTAGCCAGGTGATGTCTTCATTTTTTAGCAATTTTTTGACATTGTTTATGAATCTTTGTATCTTTTTTGTGGCTCTGTTTTCATAGATGGTGTTGTCATTGATGAAGTCTCTCATTTTCTGTTGATAGATGAGTTTGTCCATGATTACAATACCTTCACCTTTAACCATTACAATTTACCTTGATAAAGTCCATCGAATGATGAAACACGTCAATTAAACTAAGTATAGTTTGCCTATTGTTTTTTTATTTGTTTTGTCTCTTCTACAGATATATTCCATCTGAGAATATATATATATATATATATATATATATATATATATATATATATATATATATATATATATATATATATATATTATATCATTTATTGTTCTCTCCATTTCTTTTACTCTCAGTAACCCCTTGCATCTTAGGTGCTTTTATCACTTGGCATGAGTTGAAATGATTAAAAACCTATAGATACCCCCACCCCTACAACACACACACAGTGATAGCTATTCTACACAATAGGGAAAAATGAACAAATCCATTACTTACAATTCAACCAAATATGTTATAAAAATCAAACGTGATTCAAGGTTTCAATTTTCTTCTTAAATTAACCATTTAAAACAATATCATGACACAAAGAAAAAATGCATGAAAATACAATCATCTAAAGCAAATGTTTTTTTTTTTGTTTCTTTTAGAATTCTTCTTCTTTCATATGATGTTTCCCTTGAGGATGTGAGCAATCATAATTCACCATGACTTGCTGTCCTTTGTAACTTTAAGCAATCTTTGTCCTCTCACTATCCCTTCCCTGCTCTGCCACCCATTTACACAAACTCATTTATTAGGTTACTTGATGTTTCCTTCTACCCCTCTTGACTTCAATATAGCCTGTGGGTGTAAAGTTCTCCAAGCACCCTTTCCTCATTATGCAACCCAGAAATTTTAACAGTCACTTTCTGGTCCGAAGCACAAGTGTTTTTTTCATTCCCAACTTTCTAAAATTTCCCTTGTTTCCAATATATTTCATCTATGATATTCTCAGGATCCTTCTGTAGAACTGCATTTCTGTTCACATGTCTCCTCTTCATTTGTGAGGAAACTTTACCATATTCATTACTGTAGAGAAGGAGTGATGTGATATAGCAGTTCAGCATTCTTTTCTTTGTTTTTAATAACATTTTCCTGTTTTTTAATATTTTGTTTAATTTTTGGAAGGCATCTTTTGTTGTTTCACTGTGCCTTTGGACTTTGGTCTCACATTTTTACTTGTTTTTGTGATGTCAATGAACACTCACTTGACACTTTTGTAATGTTCGTTGTAGTAGAGACTTTGTAATCACTGATTACAACTATAGTAACACTGTTGAACAATACTAGTGTCAGACATGCATTGTTCAGGATTCTGTAAAGGTCTTCAAGGAAATTTCAAATTGTTTTCTTGTTTTTTATCAATAGTAAGCTCTGGGAAGATTTTGGCTGTCTCCTACCTTGGGAAAAGTTTTCTGCTTGCAACTCACTCAGAAGATCAATCCGAAATTAATAGAAAAGTTCAGTTCTAGTTTTATTGAAAGAAGGACATTTGCATTGCAAATTATTTAGTTTCTTATTGATTGGTTGGATATTAAGAGAAATTTTAAAAGAGTTACATCATTAAAAGAAAATCATTTTGCAGTCAATGGACACTAAAACTTTATGCATGTCAAATATCTCCATTATATGAAATTGACATTCATCAAAGATTCAACTAAATGTCATAATGTAATCTATAAAAGACATATCTTCAACATGTTAATCTCATAAGTCATTTTTAATGAGTTCAGTGCTCAAAGGATGTTCATTAAAGTGACCTTTGCTAAAGTTGACTTTTGGTTCAATAAATATTTTGACTCATTCCAAGTTGATTGGGAACATCTTGCGAACAAGATAAGAGATTCAAAAGGAAGATAAAAACTTTCCAGACATTGGATTAAATTGCAAAATATCAAGAGGTTTGTTGTAAAGAAGAAATGAACATATTAGATACAGTTTTACCTTGGTTTCTTTTCTACAATGGACAGTGATGACTTGTTCAGCACAGAAAATGATTGGCTCTTGTTGCATGCTCATCACTTCAAGTATCAGTTAAGCACAGTAGAGTAACAGTATTGCTTACATGTTCAGGAAAAATGCCTATCCATCAAAAGTGGAGAGAATAAAAGGAGATTGGAGCATCTGTTGCCAGTAACAATTACAGACATTCTAAACTGTTCAGGAGACGACAACAACAACAACAAGACCCATGCAAACATCAAATAGTAGTTAAGATGTTGAGAGTGACAGGAAATAAGGGTGTTAAATAGTGGCACAATATGATTCATTTCACAGACACTCAGCAAAATGATTTACAAGGCAGAATGGTTAACATGAATGATATCTAAAACCCACTGATGTCTGTATAAGAAAGGCAAAAATAAATGCACAAATATGGGCATTTTTTTCTGTCACTAGAGCATTAAGATGTCGACGATTACAATCAATCACAGTATCAAATTATAGTAAATCCTTTTCTCCAAACATAAGATGCTTCATATATCAACAGTTTTATTTCTATAGAAAAATATACTTGCAAAATTATCCAAAAACAAAACTATATATATATATATATATATATATATATATATATAAAATGTGTGGGCATATAAATTAAAGAACTTATATGTAGACAATATATATTAATTCTAAACTTCATTTACATTTCAAAGAAAATAACTTTCTATAGAAGCTCTATTTATGGAAAAAGTTCTCGTCAAAACAAAAAACACAATCATGTTGATTTAGTACTACTTAAAAAAAAAGGAAAACATTCTTATGAAAAGTATCAGAAACAAAATGCTTAGAATATTGCTGCCACATATAATTTGGAGCCCCTGCTATTTATCTTGAGTTCCTTGATAAAATAGAAAGAAGAATCAGCAATATTATTGGTCCTGTTTTGGCAGCTTGGCTTCAGTCACTTTCACACCACTGTAAGTTTGCATCTCTGTGCCTTTTCTATAAATACATTCATAGTAATTCTTTAGATGAGTTCTTCCCTATGGTACCTAAACTTTTTTTAATTTAAGTGCAATACTAGATTGGTGTTGAGATTTCACCAATTTACAAATGAACTGGCTAGCTGTAAGTTCTATGTTAACAGTTTTTTTCTCGCTTGTGGAACTCTCTTCTGGCTCTATGTTTTCTAGTCAAGTTTCATCTGCAAAAATTTAAATGCAATGTCAATTGCTATCTGCTGTCTTCCTAATTACTCTTTCTTATTATGGCTCATTATTAATGTCTCTGTTCCTAATTTTTTCCATATTCTGTAACCCCTTGTGTTCTAGTGGTTTTACTGCCTTGCATAGAGTGATAGTGATTAAAAAAAAAAAAAAAATTGGAACTAAAGATAAATTTCAAAAATGTTATTTTCTGTTCAGTGGAGCTTATACCAAACTTGCTGTTGAAAATCTTCAGTTAGTTAAATGCATATCCTAGCAGTTGATAATGCCAGAGGGTATACAGTAAATGCCAGAAGATTTATTTTGTAAATCATTTAGAAAAGAAAAGTTCAAGCTGTAAGATGCTTTCAATATTTTAAGCGATTTGAAATCTACCATAATTATAAAAGTGATTTACTTTGGAATGAGAAAACAGATGAAAATATCACCTGTATGACATAAGGTTAAGTTTATTAATACTTTTCAAGTCTTGTGCTTTTTTGTTATCAATCCTTAATTGGGCAAACATATTTAGAATGGATAGTATTGCAACAAAAGATATTCTGAGAAAAAACATTTTACTCTTACCAAAAATATGTAAGATTGATTGTTTTTTATGACTTATCAACCTTTTGCAAGTTATTTAAAGCCAGAAAATATTTTTAAATTGTAAGAATTTTTTTGAGATAATAATCATTTACTGATACATATCCTACTAATAAACCCATAGCTGAGGGGAGAAGCAGATTCGTAGTTTTCCCAAGGGTAAGTGCACATAAGCAAATATAACAAACTCAAATGGAATTGGAACTCAGCGCTCCAATTTCTGATTTTGAGCTGTTGTCCAATACACCACCCACACATTCAAGTTTACAGCATTTGGTATTCCCAAGCGGTCACTCATCTAGGTACTAACCAGGCTCAACATTGTTTAACTTCAGTGGTCATACAAGAATTGGTGTTCCAAGGTGATATTGCTGTATGCTTCATAGGAAAACGGCTCATGTAATTTTCTCCTCATGTTCAAGTCTCGGCTAAACTGCTATCTTCTCCACATAGCCATGTAAAATGTATCTCTTACTCTGTAACACTACCTCAAGTGGCTTCTGGGTTTTGCACAATGTGACTATCATTGTGTAAAAAGAAGAAAAAAATGATTTCGTAAAGATTATTGTTATTATTATTTTAAATATTCTGATAACAATAAAAAACACTTATATTTACCATAATCAATATTTAACCTTTTTCGATTCTTGGGACAAGGCATTACAAAATGTAAAAAGTATTGGAATTTAATAGAAAAACAGTTTTGTAAAAATGAAATACTTTTAACACACAAAAAATGTTTTATTTTTATAAAATTTAAAAATTGAAGAAAAATTTTTAGTGAGTTCATAAATGAAGAAAAACCCTTTAAAACCGATGCATCTTTTCACCTGGGTTTTGTTGACTAAATGTAAAATACAACATGGCATTTTGTACACAAAAAGATAAATATTGTTCTTTTTTTATTAGGAATACTGTGTGTGTGTGTTTATCTCTCTTGTATATTCTACATAAACATGTCGATTTTTATATTTCATGATTTTATTGCTCATCTAGTACTAATATGAAGTTCTTAGACAAAATTGATAGAGTGAAAATCACAAACAAGTGAAATTAATTCCCTTATTTTGAAGAAAATTGTTGGACTTTCTGATAGCCTATTTTGAAAATATTGAGAAACTTCATTTTTAAAAAATTTTAAACTTTTCAAATGATAGTAAAAACTGTTAATAATAGAAAAATGTTAATAACTTTACTAAAAGTATTTTATGCAAATACAAAACAGAAATATTATTTGCAAAGATGAATTCAATTTTCATGAGACACTTTGCATATAACTAAAATACAATATGGCAAAAATTGCAAATCACAATATAAGTTTCCTTTATTTTCAACTTCTCTTGCTCATTTTTATTAATAGAATAGACAAAAGTCCCACAAGCCGAAACTGTGGAACAGGATAAATAATTTAACATTAGAAAAAAAGGGTTTTTATGCTTAGGATTTTGAATGGAGGGAAAGAAAACATGAGAGATTTTCAATACACAACTAAACTATATCTACACATGTACAAACTTATTGAAAGCTTCTTAATTTCATTCTAATTTCTTTCTTTCTCAGGAAATGCCTCCATTTGTTAGGAAAGTACATTTACATCTGCAACCAACTAATGGCTGCAAAATCTAGATGAAATAATAAAGAAGGAAGCCTAGGTTAAGTTAGAACATTTGTTCTAACAGAGGCAGTATATTGTTTTGATTTTATGGTTTAACAGGCAAGGATTTTATTGAGTTCAATATTCCCCATTGCCTGCTGAATTAAATTCATAAGAGATAATAATACAAGACAGACAATAAAAACAATATTTGTGATACGTTCCCAGATGCAGTAACTATCTAAAAATGCCATAAATGATTTGACAAGTTTGAAAATACAAAACTGGGATCTTTGTGGTAAAGCTTTCTCTAGATCAGCTACTTTTCAAGCAGAACATTATCAAAGAAACAGAGATATAGTAAAAATCGCAATGCATCAAATAGACACAAATATCTCAAGCAAATTGGAAAGAATGCTAATGAGGGTTTATCCGTTCCACATGAAATCTCACCAGAGAAGCAAATGCCATGTTGAACCATTTACAAAGACTCTGCTGAACAAGAATGAAAAACTATATTTCCCCCCCATCAGATTTTTCAGAAAATGAGAATTGAATAATCTATGTTAACAATGAATAAAGAAAAAAAGGTCTTGAGTTAAAATTGATTTTATCATCAAAAAAAAAAAAAAAAACAAGCATGTCTTCAAGTATGGATAGTTTTTCTATGTGAGAACATGTCGGATATTGTCCAGTATGAATTACTGGATCCTGGAGAAAGCATCACTGCAAGTCTCTATTGTTAACAATTCAAGCATAACAATGATACATTGCCTCAGAAATGTACAGCTTTGAACAGAGTGTCATCCGCCAAAACAAGGTTTCACTCAAAGAGAAAAAAACTGAGATTTAGAAATTTTGCCTCACCTTCCAGATATGCCAAACCTTGCAACATAATATTATCATTATTTCAAACACTAGAATATTTTCTAATTCCAGAAGATTTACGAAAAAAGAAAACATGGTTTCAGATTTATCAATTTGGTTTTTATCAAAAACATCAAACTTTATGATAAAAAATATGAAAATTCCCTTTGAGTGACTAATTTTGGATGATATCAATTATTTGTTAATTAAATTAATTAAATTTGCATTCAGTCTTATTTCCTTTTTAAAAATACATTATTTTCTGTCAACTTACAAATTTCTATCTTGAGGAAAATAATTACTCTATAGAAAATACTTTTATTCAATTCTGAAAACTAAAAAGAATATATATTCTTTTGTGGTATTTTATGAATGAAAAAAAAAGAAGAAAAGAAACTCTGCCCAAAACATAAAAAAACCCCAAAATTGCAGAAGTCAGAAAGAAAAAAAATTTCTAATCTTATTTTGTTTTTGTTTTTTAAGAAGCAGAAAAAACTAAAGGCAGTCATTTGCTTCAACAACAAAAATACAGAGACAAATTGTATTTTCAAATTTGGTCATAACAAAATAATTGGAGGCTTTCTTTAGTCAAATGCTAAGAAAAAATGGATTTAATAAAAATAAGCATAAAAAGTACTTGTTGTCTTAATGGATATCATCAATAAAAAACTAAAACAGATTTTACATTAACGATCATCAAACAACAGACAAATACACATGGAAAAATAGATTTTATATACAGAATCTGGTCATAAACAGTTTTCCCTTGATTTTATTTCACTAGTAAAATGATCTGTTTTGCTAAGAGGGCATTCTTTCTCTTCTGGAAATAATTATGTACTATTATTTTATACATAATTTTTAACTGGTAATCAAGAAAGAAAACTACTCATTTTTATTAATTCATACTAACAAAAGTGGTTTAGTTTGTCTAATTTTCCTGTATTTAAATGACAGAAATATTTTATTTTCATCAGATTATATATTTATTCACTATATAAAAATATTAATCCTATTGTAGTCACTTCTTATGTTTCATCTTTAAGTACTGGTGTGGCCTGTATTCAAAAATAAAAATATTACTTTTTGCAATTAAGTTGACTTTTTAAAATTGTTTCATGTTAGTTTATAAGTATTCATTTAAAATATAAATTTCAAAAACTTTTTAAATTACTCTCCCCATTATTCCTATAGAATGGAACTTTGGGTCATGAATGTTTCTCAGCACAAACAAATCAGTTCACAAGCAAATTTTCCAAACGAAAAAAACTGTCTTGGGTTTTGAATGCTATCTCAAGTGATGAAGCCGCAAGTTGGGGACAAAGCAGAAGTATTAATGAGTGAGTGTCAGTTGCAATGTAGGTTTCCCCATTATATACATTCCTGTTAGAATTTGCTCCGCCTTCTCTTGAATTGTTTTATTTTTTATAAATTATTAAATCAACATTTCAAAATGTAAACAAAAACAAATCTCATTGGACAAATTTTTAGCGAGACATCGACCCAGTAAGTTTCAAGCAGAGTCGAGTGATGAAAAGAGAAAGAGAAGAAATCTCAGAAAGACAGTTACCCAATGTTTTTTTTTTTATGGAAGGGGACTCTCCTACCGAACAATAACATCTTTCCCCTTCCACACCACCTTCCACCATCAACAGTAAAAATTAAATTAAGTTTTTGTCTGTTTAGTACCTTGTGCACAAAGTACTGTTCTAAAGGCTTAAATAAGCAATCATCTTTTCTATGAACAGATTTCATCCATTTTATGTGGAAACTAGTTTCAGTTTATGAATGACCTTCAGGAACAAATTAAATTTGTGAATTAATTTTCCATTCTATTTTACAAATATTTACAAATATTGATATGAAGTTTCTTATCATACCAATTAAAGAGTGTCTATGAAAATTTAATCAATAAGAAATCCTTTTTGTTTTTACCTTTTCAAGTAAAAGAGTGAATCTATTTCCTAATGATAGTCATTATGTTTTATAAAAAGATTATTTCATCTTCAAGAATCCAAATCAAGGAAGCAATGAGAAAAAGTGAAACAGAAATATTTACTACATGAATGATAAGGTGCTGGAATTAATAATAATAATTTCAGCCTTTTTGCCAAAATATAAGGAGAAAAAGAAAACTTATTGGCTATGGCTTGCACCAGGAAAAACAAAAACAAAACAATACCGTTATTTACACAGGGGTTTTAATAACTTGATGGAATTTAACCACTTTTCAAAGTTAAAAATCAATTTGGTTTTGCAAAAATCTGTGTTGGTATTCACTATCTAAAAGTTATGTTCTTTCAACAAGTTTTTCATTTGGATTAAGATTATTGTTGTAACTTGGAACTAAGGAAATGGAAGCACCACTTCAGCCATTGTTTAGACACTGTTCAAAAGTGCTGGTTATATTGTGAATAAAAAGCAGGAGTATCACTTCTGCTTGCAGAGAAGTAACCAGATTAAACTATGTTGTCATTATTATTACGGAACCCACTTACCAAGATGTTACATTTTGGCAATGAGAGATTTTTTTTTTTATCACAGAAATGTCAACACTTGGACGTGTAGAAGATTTCTGTATTGACTTCTGGAAATATTCTTCATACCTGGACCATTTGGAACAGTATAGTTTGGGGTCAGCAAACTGAAATAAAATGTACAGCTATCTTACTCAGCACCATAGGTGAAAAAAAATTTACAAAGCCTTGGAGGATTTATGTGTACTACAGAAGGCGAGTGATAGAACTTCTGGAGAAATTAAGCATTTGTTGCTAGAACACCTCAAGCCCAAACACCTTGTGATTGTGGAAAGTCACAAGTTTTATAATACCAAACAAGAGGAAGGTGTTTCTATTTCATTAGTTCCCAATTATAACAATGAAATGACACTTAAACAGCATTGTTAAAAAAATAT